GTATAAGAGACAGGTTGTAGGATTTAAAAAGATGTATTTACTGAGCTTATTGGTTTGACTTTGGGTAGCATTGCCAAGGTCAGAGAAAGATCATTTTAAATTTTTTAAATGGAACCTCGCATTTTTTATTGCATATTCTTGTAGCTTATCTCGAGAGCTTTCCAAAACTAATAAAATATTTTTTCATTAATCACTTTTCGAGTTATAAGGCTTGGAAGTTACAGTACCATCGGCACTAGCATTATCTAAGGTGCCCGAACAATAGCTAAAACCTTTTGAATGTTGTTCATGAGCTTGACACATGTTATCAAGCTCATGATCCAGAACAACATTCAAAAGGTTTTAGTCATTGCTCGGACATCTTGGATAATACTAATGCCCGTGGTACTGTAACTTTCAAGCCTTATAACTTGAAAAGTAATTAGTGAAAAAATATTTTATTATAGTGTTTTGGAAAGCTGTCGAGATAAGCTATAAGAATATGCAATGAAAAATAGGGAGTTCCATTTAAAAAAATTTAAAGTAATTCTTCCCTGACCTTAACGACGCCACCCAAGGTCAAACGGATATGATCAATAGATAGATCTTTTTATATCCTATAACTTTTGTCTTGAACATTTTTCTCAAAAATATTTTGTTTTCGAGATATTCGACCGTTTTCGGACTTTTTAAAGACCCTGTATATTTTGTAGATAACTAATATTTTGCAAATGCGAACCACGATGGTGTATTATCTTTAATCTAGAGACAGTACACAAATCGTGGTTCGCATTTGTAAAATATTAATGCATTTCAAAACTTATTAAAAAAACAGTGTCGCAACCGATATATCCACGTCTGTATGTACATACACATAGTTGTATATTGCAAATTGCTTACTTTCTTTAAACCAACCAATTCGTTTCATTATAATTTTATGCATAAAAGTAAGATACAATTATCAAGAATTAAGTTAATATATAATTTACGAGATATTTTATATTTTATGTTGAAATATGGCATGGTAAAGTATCTTTTTTTAATAACTTTATCTTAATACTTTTAAATACAGAATTAGAGGAATCATGTAAAAAAATTATATAATTTCATTTAAAAACATAGAGATAATCTTCGTATTTTTCTAACGCCTCCACTTAGAAAAAAGCAAGTTGATCAAAATATAATACATCTTTCTAGAAACTATTTCACTTTTTATTTGAAATATTTTTTTATATCATCAATAATTCAGAGAAAAGTTGACTGCATTGATTAAAATAGGATATTCTGTATATTCCTTCGTTAAAAATTTTTCCCGAGTGTCCTTTATAAGAATGACTAAATCAATCATTATCATTGACGTGCTTTAAAGAATAAAATTAATATCGTGTAGTATATACGATTTTCCTGTTCTCAGATAATAAGACATGGAGACAGGGCACCGGTGGATACCTATCCAAATGATCCTCATATCAACGGTAGTATGGAGCCTAATGGTTGGGGTCAGTTAACAAATGTAAATATTCTATCAATAGTCAGGATAAGAGGCCAAAGACGAGCGAAATATAGGTGTCAGTTAAAATTTAAATATAACTAGGTGATTTTACATACTCTATAAGTTTCAACGAACTGCGAACCGTTATTATCGAATTCAATGCAACATTTGAAACAGAACCGTATCATTACACTGTTAAATAATTTTAATAAGTACTAATACTTGCATCTAATAAAACACCCCCCTCCCTTCTTCCCTTCGTTGTGACTTCAAATAAATGTTAACTTGCATCTATAGGATCTACTCTCTCCGAATCTGTAAAGAATTTATTGCGAAAAAATATCGTACCTTCCTTGCTGAGAACATAAGGTGATATTTTTTCGCAATAAATTCTTTACAGATTCGGGAAGAGTAGATCCTATAGATGCAAGTTAGTATTTATTTGGAGTTACAACGAAGGGAGAAAGGGGGGAGTGTTTTATTAGATGCAAGTATCAGTACTCATTAAAGTTATTTAACAGCGTAATGATTCTGTTTCAATCATAATGCTGCGTTGAATCCGATAGTAACGTTCGCAATTTATTAAAGCTAGAGTATGTAAAATCACATAGTTATATTTAAATATTAACTGACACCTATATTTCGCTCGTCTTTGGCCTCTTATCCTGACTATTGTTTACAATACGAGCTGGGAATTTATTTAGTTAAATATTCTATCTTTTGTTCTTTAAATGAATTTGTCTTACAAATCGTGCTTAATTAATTAATTAAAAAACTAGGAAGGAAGGAGGAACCAGTACGATCAAGGATTGTTCCTGCGAAAGCGTTACGATAGCTTTCTAGGTCCGACGTATCATCCCGACATATTCTATCTGCAGACTACCAGTGTGGATCGTACGAAAATGTCGGGTCTATTGGAGGCCGCTGCTTTGTGGAAACCTAACAAGAAGCAGACATTCAAATCTGATCTACCTTGGCAGCCAGTTACACTATTTTACCAGGAACGTCAAGACGACACGGTAAGCACTTTTGTAAAAATTTGTCCAGAATATACGAATTGATCTTTCTTATGACTTTTTAATGTACTTTAATGCAAAGAGAGAGTGTGTATAAATCAAGACAATAGCCAGTAATCGATTCTTATATTAAAGATCGTTTAGTACAATCTTAAAGTGTCATAAGCCAGTTATAGAGTCATAGCATCTTAAGATATTAGGACTTACGACGATCTTGAAATAAGAATCAATGATGAATACTGGTCAATAACTCCTATGTATCATAGTTCAATGTAATTGAAACAATGAACCGCGAGAACCTATATTCTTGAAACTATTGCCATAAATAGGGTATAAATCTTTTAGCTTATGTTAGTGTGGGACACGTGTCCGAGGTACACACAACTACGTTCTTCAGCGAATGACTTGCCGGAGGTCTGCAAGATGCACGAGGACAATAAGCAATTGTTCGCAGAGCTCTCGAACTTCACAGGCATGCCGATCACGACTGTTGATGATGTCAGCTCACTTTACGCCACATTATCAGCTGAGGTTACCCATTGTTTTTTAAAGCGACTAATATGCTAGGACTATTTTGTGAGATGACTAACGCTGCGTATAATGTGTATTCAATTTTTTAAATAAAAAAATTGAACACTTTTAATTGTCCAAATTGTTACAGGAACACATGAATTTGACATTGCCAGAGTGGACGAAGAACTATTATCCCGATAAACTAATACCTTTGACCTTGTTTGAGTTGAAGCTTAACACGTACAGTGACGAATTCCGCAGATTGAAGGGTGGTCCTATGCTGAAGAAAATCACCGATGAAATGCTGATGAAAAAGAAATTAGGAACTCTACAGCCTGAAAAAAGGAAAATGTTTATGTATATTGGTCACGATAGCACTATTGTCACTCTGCTGGACACGATGCACATTTGGTACAATCAAATGCCCTACTATAACATCATGACAATGATAGAACTGCATGAGGATGAAGGCAAATGGAATGTTCAGGCAAGTATTAATTTTCTACAAGCATTTGATTTCGGTCAGGAATTTTAACTCTCCGTCGGCAATATAAAATTTTCAACCTTATTAATTTGCATAATGGGGAGAATGGTCTATACCAGATTTTTTTATTGTTCCGAACTATATAAAAATTTAAACAAATTTTTATATTTGTAAGTTTTAACAAATTCTCACTATAAGAAATCGGATTTTATTTTATTTATTTTTTACAGATTTAAATATAAGAGTTTTTAAAAAATGTGATATCAGTTAAAAATTCATAATTTTTACACACACACGCGCGCGCACGCGAGTACATAGAAAATCCTTTTATACTATTTGAGTATGTACTTTGGAAAAAAAATAATATAATGAAATTGGCTCCAAAAACTCGAATTATTTGAGTACCTAAAAATAAAGATTTTTATAAATAAAAAATCAAACTTTTTTCGAGAAAAAAATAATTAACCCTTATGTGCACAACCAACTTTTACCACGTTGTTACACAACCAGGATACCTGGGTATCCACCACGAGTTTATCTTAATTTGTGAGATTGTATGCGAACGGAAGAGCACACGTC